CAGTCCCTGCTCCATGTTCACATTCCCAAGGAAAGTAATTTGGGGAACTACCTACCTTGCTCAAGTTCTCTTCGAGAACCCTGAGACCAGGGCAGTTTTCCTAACCCCAGTTCAATACCTTCTCATGAATACTGAGTGCCACAAGGGTCGCTCAGACCCCACTTAACTAAAAAAGCACTTAGCAGTTGTCTTCCATGGTTTGGAGGGACTTGCAGGATAATAGATACCCACAGAAAGTAGAAAGTTAGGGTATTCCCTGATTTATCCAAACTGGCTAAAATAACCTGTTTACACTTCCTTATTTATAATTTTCATTGACTTTAAAGATAACCAAAAAGCAAATGTTACCAGTCTCAAGTGGTTTTTGTTGTTGTTGTTTTGTTTGTTTTTTCCTGTTTCAAAACAAAGTAGCAAAGTAGCCTCTTGGAACCTCTCCTCAAATGTAGCAATGGTTCACAAAAAGTTTTAAAAATAAAATAAAACACAGATAACATAGAACAGACTCACAGGTTCACATTCTCAAGGTGGCCATTGAGATGTGATTTTGTCACCTGTTTACCCAATGTCTAAGCCATTGTTACCAACAATCCCTGAACATTTACCTCCTGTGGACTTCATATTGAGCCAAACTATGTATCTTAAATAATAATTAATAATATTCCATTTTATACTCAAAGGCACATGTAGCAATGGCAGCTTTTATAACATGAGAATCAGAATCCTATCAAACTTCCTTGTAAAAAGCAAAACATTTAGTATTTTAGCCCTAAATATGATAGCCCTATCAAGGGTAAAGATATGTGTCCTTGTGATTTTCAGAATTAGAGGTATGAATCTTAAATATCACACTCTTGTCCTGGATCGCAGGGACACTCAGAACCCTTGATCTATGCAAGATAGACAGAGACCTTCCACAGAAAATAACAAAATGTGAAGTTCCTACAATAAAACCTGTTGAAAACTCTAAACTCAGACAGGAGTCAACAGCTTTTGCCATCAAAAGAACTTTCAAGTCAGCTACAAGACTCAGAATCCCATTTATACACCATGGAGTATTACGCAGCACTAAAAAATGACAAAATCATGGAATTTGCAGGGAAATGGATGGCACTAGAGCAGATTATGCTTAGTGAAGCTAGCCAATCCCTAAAAAACAAATACCAAATGTCTTCTTTGATATAATGAGAGCAACTATGAACAGAGCGGGGAGGAAGAGCAGGAAAAAAAGATTAACATTAAACAGAGACATGAGATGGGAGGGAAAGGGAGAGAAAAGGGAAATTACATGGAAATGAAGGGAGACCCTCATTGCTATACAAAATTACATATAAGAGGTTGTGAGGGGAATGGGAAAGTAAACAAGGAGAGAAATGAATTACAGTAGATGGGGTAGAGAGAGAAGATGTGAGGGAAGGGGAGGGGGGATAGTAGGGGATAGGAAAGGTAGCAGAATACAACAGTTACTAATAGGGCATTATGTAAAATTGTGGATGTGTAACCGATGTGATTCTGCAATCTGCATTTGGGGTAAAATTGGGAGTTCATAACCCACTTCAATCTAATGTATGAAATATGATATGTCAAGAGCTTTGTAATGTTGTGAACAACCAATAAAAAAAAAATAATAATAGAAAAAAGACTCAGAATCCCAGGATTGCTACACAATGTTCCATAGAAACAAGTTTCCATTTTTAAAATAAAGGGAGGGGAGAAAACTTGCTTTATAAACATTTTCAGGGAGGATTTCCTTCACAAGTTAAATACCCCTTTACCAAGTATAACTGTTACTACATGAAGCTTTCTTGTCTCCCTTCCACAGCTCTTGGAAAACTGAATAAACGCTGCTGCCCCAATTACAGAAGAGGATATACAAACCTTTTTTTTTTTCCCCCTTGTGGCTCTAATATTTAAGTTTTCATTTCATGAAACTGTACCTTAAAATTCTAGAATCATTAACCTAGCTAATAATATAATCAGATAAGCCAAGACTTGATTATTTATAAATATAAACTAGATGTCAGCGCTGAAAAAAAAAATCTTTTAGTTCAAAATAGGTAGGCAATAAGGCTCCTAATCTGGTCAGCAGGTATCAGACAGTAACCAAACACCTGCTATTTAAACTGCCATTACCAATCAGCTCACCCTCCCTCTTAGCTTTCTGTCCCTCCCCCTAAACCACAGAACAGCTTTACTCCAGGACAGAGTTCACATTGCCCAACAATTAAACATCAACATGTGTTCCTGGCCAGAGAGATAATTTTTATAATATTCTCCTGTTTCCACATCATCTGCCAGATTTACACTGTTACCTACAAGATGTATGTTAAACACAAAGCCATATATGATGCTGCGGAAATAAAATCATAGCCCAACATTAACCCCTACTGAGGCAGGAGTAATAAATGAATACAAGCACCTGCCAATGAGGAATGTGTTTACTAAGCATGGTTTTGTTTAATTCTCATCATAACCACATGGAGTAGGCATACAATCATCTCTTAATTTCACAAATGAGGATTCTGAGGCACAGAGAAGGTAAGCAGCAGGAGACTTTTGACATTACACCCCAAATTTTCTCAACAGGATGTGGGACATGAATTTAACCCTGACAGAAATGGAAACAACCAGGAGAAAGCTTGCTCATAGGGACAGGTGAATTAAGAGTATATGAGGGCTGTGGCTGTGGCTCAGTGGTAGAGCACTTGCCTAGCAAGTCTGAGGCACTGGGTTCGATTCTCAGCACAATAAATAAATAAATAAATAAAACGAAGTTCTATCAGCAGCTTAAAAAAAAAAAGTATATGAGACAAATGACATGCCTGAGAGTTTGTTTCAGAGGTAGGAAGTCCCCACCAATCATATCAGATAAATTAGGGAAGATAGAATATTCTTTAGTTAACAGGCTTCATGAAATTTCTGGAGCTTAAGTGTGGAAAAATGGGAAAAGGTCAGGGAAAAGGGGAAGAAAGCCAGACATTATGGGCTCTTTTCTCTGTTTTCAAGTTAGGTCTGAGGTTAAACAACTAACAAAATAATGGAAATTGGAGGAGGGGTCTAGGGAGAAGGGAACTATCCAGCACAGTGAAAATGAAGATGCATGTCTGTGTTTAAGACATGATCAGGTGCAGGAAGCAAACCTGGAGAACCCTAGAGGCCCGGTATTCCCAGAGAGAAGCCTGGAGGCCATGGCCATGCTGATGGGTAGAAAGCCAGTAACAGGACACTGCAAGAAGTAAGAAAGTGTCACAGAAAGGAAAAACAAAAACCGGAAATGGTAAAGCATCCACAAAAGGCAGAATCGGGAGGTCAACAGATCCTGATCCAAGATCAAAAGATCCTGTTTGAGGAAAGGTATAAGTAAGTTAGAATGGTTTCAAGAGCGTCAAAACACTCGCGGTATCTTAAAATCTCAGAATTCCACATCTCATGAAAGAAATGAAGAACAGAGATGCATGTGGAGACTGAGTCACATGACCTGATGTCCTCAGGCAGGACTGTTAGTTCAGAAACTGTAAGGGCAAACACACTCTGTAGCTCCTCAGAGGGGAGGACAGACGCGCAGGTTGGATTCCACACTCTAAACCACTTCTAACTAAATCAGAACACTATTTTATCTTCAAATACTCTACCAAATAACAACTGAAGAATAAAATAACTTACCAAGAAATATCAACTTCAACCGTTCTTAAAAGAAGACTTTTTTGTTTGTTGTTTTAAATTTTTTAAATATTATCTGCAAAACAAAAGTCCCTTGGTGCAAATTGTAATCCTGCTAAAATCAGCCCCCCACACCAAAAAAGAAAAAAAAAACAACGAAATGAGAATATCTCTAAACATTCTCATTTATTGTGTTGGGAGGGGATGGGGAAGTGTTCTGATTCAACCTGCCATCCAGAGACAAAAACAGAGGTAGTAAAGACAATTACCAGAAACGCCCCTTAGATCGTACAGCAAAACTATACTATAACGCAGTGAATCCAATCAAAGAGATGTCGTCCTTTAAGTTAAGCAAAGTGACTTTACAATTCCCCACGTTGCTCAAGGATCAAGCCCCCCTGGCAGACTTTACAACTCTGCCTATCTCCTTGGTATTCCCTCAAACCAAACGCCAGAGTCCACCTCTCGCTTCAGGAGTCACACCTTGAACCTCACTGACAAGTAAGAACCTGGGTGAGGTGAACCGTACCAAGCCCCTCCCAGGTGAAGACGGTGGGTGTAGGCGTGGAGGGTAAAGTGGAACTGCGGGTGTGGGAGAGAAGGCCAGCCCGCCCCCCTGCCTCTGACCCCAGGGCCCCTTCTGATGATCCCACAGCTCTCGGGGTAGGTGGTCTCCAACCGGCTGGTACCTGAAGCTCACTCCGGGAATAACACTGGTTGGTGGACCTTTCCTAGATGGGGATCATTCTATTAAAAACACTTGAAAATAAAAGGGGATCTTTAAAATTTCTTGCGTAGCTGCGCCCTCTCCTAGGAAGTAGGGGTCCAGGCCACTACGCAGGGTCTCCGGAGCCAGTCCCCGCCCAACAAGTGCCCCAGCCCACACGGCGGGCTGCTGAAAAGGCTCGCGTGGCTGCTCCTCCTCGGGGTTCTCCCAGGTGCGCGCACAGATGTGCCAACAGGGACGCAGGTGTGCTGCCGCGGGACTCGCTCCCAGGTGTGCACTCACTCGGGGCGCAAACCCAGCGGAGTACACTCAGGCGCAGGTACAAGTGTGCAGTCACGGGGAGCGCTCCCAGGTGCGCACGCACACAAGCGCACTCGGGGTGCCGACGCGGACAGCGCTTCCAGGTGTGCGCACCGAACGTGCGCACTCAGAGGCAGACGGGGAGTCCACTCGGGAGAGCAGACGCAAGTGTGCAATGAGTGTGGGGGGCGCTCCCCGCGTTCACACTCGGGGGCAGACTGGGCCGCGTCGCTGCGAATAACAGGTCACGCCAGGGAACCCAAACCCCGGACTCGGTCCCCGTGCCCCGGACGGGGTTCGCGCCTTCCCAACTGACCTCTTCCAGAAATTTAGTCAAGTCGTACACCTTGTGGTGCAGGATCACCCAGGTGCTTTTGCTGTTGTTGTGCTTCTGGATCTCTTCCAGGGTGTAGTACTTCACAGCCTTGTCCGACTGCTCGGCCATCACGCACGAGTCGAGCCTCAGGCCCCGCTCACACAGCCGTCACGGGTGGAACACTCACAGCGTCTCGGGCAGCTCCGCTCGGGACATCCCCGAGCTCCCGGGCCCGGTGCCCCGGACGGGGCGGAGGCGCGGCGAGGGAGGCGGGCGGCGCACGGCCTCCGAGGACTGGCCGGCTTGCTTGTCACTCAAGAGGCCTCGCCCTCTGCCGACGCCCTCCACCACCCCGAGCGTGCGCCCGCCCGTCGCGCGAGTGTTGATTGGCTACGGGACGCGCCTTTCGCAATCACCCGCTGCTGGAGCGCGCGAGGAGGGCGGGGCTTCGCTGAATCTGCGCAGAGGCGGCGGGAAGGGCTCCTGGGCGCGTCGGGCTCCGCGCTGGGGCCGGGAGGGCCAGGCGCAGCGTTCCCAACCCCGAGAGGAGAGAGAAGGTGGTGTTGGGCCGCGCAGACTGCACCGAGTCAGCCCTGGGGCCGCCCGTTTGTTGGTACCCAAAATAGCAATGCTTCTGCCCACAAAGTGGACGTCGTGGGGAAACTTGTTAACAAGCACAGATGTGAAGGAGAGCTCTGGACGTCTTCAAAGAAAAAAGAAGTTGCACAGCTTCCCTCAATCATGTGTTTTCCCAAATAAACTTCACCAAAGTTTTACTTCCCTAACCTCCACGGGGAAGTGGGCCGGGTTGGAGGATGAGGTTTGGGTTACCTCATTCTCACAGGACAGCAATTCAGGGGGAAAAAGTTTCTCTGCTGCTCATCAGTGACTTGGCAAGGACCTGTCTTAGTCTCTTATCTGTCTTATCTCAACTGTGCTGTCCAGATAAGACCTAAATGATGAACAGCACTTCCAACAGTCTATAATATTTCCCCAGCTTGGCCCTCCACTGCCACTCCTGATGGAAGGTAAAATATCACACATGCAGGACTACAAATGTTTGGGAGAGAAAAAACAAAAATAGAAAATTCCAGGATATTAAAGTCTTCTGGTAGTTTAGACTTTTCAGCAATAGCAGTTGTTATGTCCACAGTCCAGTTGTGCCAGGGTAGTGGGGTAGGCTGTGAAAAGGCCAAAGACAATGCCTGAAGACAGTATGGGAGGGAGACAGACAAAGCTTAGGAGACATTAGTGACTGCTTCAAGAAGAGTGCTGTGGCTGCAGGATGAACAGATAGCATCTTCATCCCTCAGGGCACTTTCCTAGGTAGTGCCTTTTCCCCAAACATCACCACAAATTGTTCAGCAACACAATCCTTTCTGCAGTTTCCTCAGTCTGGCATCAGTTCCCACTTTGAGAGGAGTTTTATGTGTTAGTCTGCAGAAGCAGTGACAACAATATTAGCTTGCTTGAATGAACTACATTCCAAGGAGCACCTATCCCGGTGTACTTGCAAGAAAGTAGCTTTCCTACAGGTGACATTTGCCTTGTTCCCAGTGTGCATAAAAGAAAGCTTAGAGTCCTGCAAGATAGGATTGCTCTCATTGTTCCTTTAACTTGACTAGGCTTTTGAGAACAGAAAGGGGGTGTGCAAAGACATGGTGTTTTACTGTTCCCTTTTCTTTAGAGATGCAAAAGAGAGCAACACAAGAGGTTGCACATGTGGGCCATCCTCCCAGCAGGGTCTCAGAGGTCGCTGCACATATTAGGTGCTTTGTGATTATTAGTTTTCCCCCTAACATACCTGTCCATAGGAATATGTGCCCACTGAAAAGAAAACAGTGCTCAAAGCATTTCAAAATATTTACGTTTTTTTCCCCAAAAGCCGATATTTCCAAGTGTAACATTCTGTTGTTCAGGAAATATTTCTAAGTACTATATGTGGCTAAAAGAAAGTAAATTATTTGTACTACCCTCTAATCAGTTGTAGTTCATGTATTTGAATGTTTTACTTCACATTAACCAACAAAAACTATGTAAGAATAATTTCCAAGGAAGTTCTGTACTTTTTTTAACCTTTGATTTTTAACACAACTTTAGGTTCACAGGAAGTTGCAAATATAGCAGACAGGTCCTGTGTCCCTTCTGCCAGTTTCCCGCAATGTTTACATGTTGATGCAACTAGAGTTCAACATCAAAGTCAGAAAATTGACACTGGTACAGTGTACACGCATTGTTCCACCCAGCTTTAGGATTTATGTAGGTGTGATCACTACCACAATCAAGCTACAGAACTGTCCCATCACCACCAGGCTCCCGTTAGTGCTATCCCCTCTAGTCAATCACTTCCTTTATAGGTTTCATGTCACCTTTTTATTTCTCAAGGATCAATGGGATATGTGTGTGGCAAAATGGTCCCCTTGGACATCCACAAGGTCACCCGCTCTCTTCAGGCCTTGAACTCCAACATCACGTCTGCGAGGCCTTCCTGACCACTTTACTAAATACACACAGTGGCCTCTACAGCACCTCAGGCCTGTCTCCGAGGCACCCTTACCATCTTCCATACTAAGACTTCTTCCATTTATCCTCCTTCTTGTCCCTCCAAACCCCGGTCTTCCTAAATTTCTGCACGGCAAGGGAATGGGTGACAGCGGGGTGGGCTGCTGAGAGCTGGGGGG